TTTTATAAAAAGTATTTTAGTTTTTTTTCTACTTTTTACTTTCCCACAGTTAAAAACATAAACTCAGCAAAAATGCTCGTATTGTTCTTATGTTCGTATATTATTATGTGCCATGCATTTGTGGTAAATTTGTTGTTGTTTTCCTTTTTTCTTCAATTTAAATCAATTAAATGCTTTTTCAACATATTTTGTTTTTGTCGTTGTTATGTTTAACTGGCCTTTGTTTGTATGTAAGTTAGAGACAAAAATTCTGTTAAATTAGCTTTTCAATTTTTTATAAGTTTTCATTTAAGAAAATAAACACAATTTAAGGAAATTAAATATCTTGAAAGGAAAAAAACAAAAAAATAGTTTGTGATAATCAGCAAATTTTTTGTTTGTTTTTTATGAAAATATTTATTAATAAGATATTATATTTTAACAGACTCTGTTATTAACAGCTTTACTTTACATAACAAAGGAAATGTGCAAAATTTCATTAGTAAATTTTAAAGTCATATATATTATTACTACAGTTTTTTTTTTCTTTACTCAACTTATAATAAAGAAGTAAAAATCGTCTACTATTCTCAATTTTTACCTTTTTAAAATTCTTTTAATCCAACAAATGTACTACAACCAAAAAATTCATTGATGTTTTGCATATTTTTAATTTAAAAAAGAATATATTTTCTTAAGATTTAATTAGAATTGCACTAAATAGATTTGTAATTTATTCTTACAATATTAAAAATTGTAATTTTGTATTTCACAATATTGTTTTAGTTTAAATAAAAAAATAAAATATTTATTTAATTATTAACGTTTCACTTATGTTTGCAATATAACTTAATATTAACCGTTACCGTCCGTTATATTTTAAAAGCACTATACACTTTTCACCGCAAATATCGCACGCTATTGCCGTCCGTACACTACTCGATAAAATAAAAGCAGTCCAATACGATCTGCTCTCAGTGAAAAACAGTGAAGTAGAGTTGCCAATACACATTGAAATATCACTTATACCAAATTCCATGAGACAAGTGTAATGGGAGCCAAAACCTTTCAGTGCTCAGATTAGTTATACTTTTCAATGCTCAAATTACAATCAAATAATTAAATTTAGATAATAACGTACAGTTCAACTAGCTTATTTTAATTTTTTTCTAGTAAATGTTAATAACATGAAATTGGCTGTTTCGTGGTAAATACTCGTAATATTACACATCAACTCTTAGTAGTTCTGCTCACCGGTTATTTAATATATTTGAAAAAAAAAAAAACAATAGAAAATATAGTATTTAATTATAGGTGTAGAAAACAAAATCATTGGTCGTATTTACAGTTTACAGTATAAAGTTTTAGTTTATTTAGTTAAGTTTTTAAACGAAACTCCAAATCTTTAACTTTTAACTTAACTGATAGTAATAAAAAAGAATATAGATTGGCATGGAGCTAGTCTTGATGTGTCATTTGGAAATTCTTATACATCGTGTTCACCAACACTCGAGGAAAATATATCGGAACATATGTGGTATGACTGTTCAAGTTTATCCAGATTAACGAGCGCCACCTAGATAGTGCATGTGCAATTTTTTAACTTGATATTAAAACTTGAAGCATAACATTAAGTCAGTTATGGAAAATAATTCAATTAGAAGACATTAGTATAGATCAAGAACATGAAGCAAATACTTTGCTATAAAAGGCATTTAAAATTCAATCGCTGCAACACCTGCCCTTGTATATTGTGTATTGTATATTGTATACTGCACAATCATTCTTCTTCTAACACCAATTTCTATTATACATAGAAGTTTATACTAGCAACCACCCAATGAAGAATTCTCCTCTTCTTTAATGTCTTTTTCTATAAATATTAATTACGCCTTTTTAAATTTAATTCACCTTTGCCTTGTTTACTGGAATTGGGTTTCGGCAATTGGTGCTTTACGGACTAGTTATTATTCTTTATAAATTCTTAAGAAGTATAGGTGTAGATGTAGGATTCGGGCTTTATACTGATGCCTCTCAACATCTTAATAGAAACGAAAGAACTTTATTATGTTTTGTAAACAAATGTGAAATGAGTTGAAGCGAGAAATATGATAACTAAAAAAAATATAAAAATGATGGAAATAAAGACAAATAATCAGATTACTACTTATCACTTTTTAATCAAATAAAGAATGCATTTAAATTGGTTACACAAAAATATCAATTGAACTAAATTTGTGTAATATCTTTTTTTTAATATAATGAGAGTGATGATATTTGTACGAACTGATAATTAAGTGATAAGTTTGTTTTAAAAAAATAAAATGTGATACAATTTAAAGAAAAGCATTTTTTGACGTCTTATTTTTGTTTTGAATTAGCGTTGAAATGATAATTATCTTATATCAATTATATATACTTTTGAGAGTTAATATTTAATTATGTTATCAATTGAAATGAATCAAAATATTTCAACAGAAATATGTACATATATCCAACATGGTTTCAAATTGAAATTCATAATCAAAAATCCCAAAACTAATGATATTTTCACGTTTTATTAATTATCCCTAATTTTTATATCAACATTTTTCTTCGATCGAACATTTAATTTCGATTTGATGTCTTATTTTGTTCTGATTGTTAAATGTAAAACTAACATTTTGAACTTTGATAAGAAATTTTGCATAACAGAACAACATTTTTTGGAGCTTGATTAAAATGGTTTGCCTGTTGTTTAAAGTTTTTAGTGATAAGATTGTCTAAAAATTTTGTATATATATACAGGGTGCTAATATTTAAGTTTTAAACTGGAATTTTGAAAATACCTTTTTTTTTCATTTTGATACTAGCTTCAATTCTACTACAGATGCAAGCTGGACATACTATAGCATATGTACAGTGATCTTCTTTTCGATGCCTTGAAGCAAACTTCCATGCAATTAACATGTCCTACACTTTTCTTCTTCAGTAGTGTTAAGTAAATGTACTTAGCATATCAAAGCATACAGCGGGGATAAGATGCCAACCTATTTGTCAATGTAATCTACATAATACACTGCAGTGTCTGTCAAAAAAAATATTTTTTAGTATATTACATCTGAGAACAATTTTGGCCACATCACTGAATAGTCATTCCTATAATGATTTAATGTTACTATTATTATTATTAAGTAATAGGCTATTAATACACCCCGACCTAAAAGATCTATTATACGCCTAAAGGCCAAAATAGGACAATTTTAGACTATTTATAAAACTTGTAATTGCTGTGGGCTTAATTTTACCTATTTGATTTGGGACAAAGATCCCGCTTCCATCATGTCTACGTCTTGCCACCACTGTGCATGTTCCGATGTTTCCTTCTCCTCATGACAGAATCGAAAGGAGTCATTTTCTACCGCACCTATAATCTACATGTGGTAATTAAATCTACAGTGTCTTGTAAGAAGTTCAGTGTAGATTTTGATCAATATCAACTTTGATGTGATCAGGATCAATGAATCTTTTTGACTATCGCATGCCTGTTTGGGCTCTACAGTGTTCAAGTAGATGTTGTTTCTCCCGTTCACATAATAAGCTATTTGTGAAGCTATTTGTTACCCCGCAGAAGGGCTCTGGAGCAATAAAAGAGTACATGTACACTTCTTTGCTAGGGAGTCTGCTATTTCATTGCCCTCATGCCATTCGTGTTCCGGTACCCACATGAGAGTAACATAGTTCCTCGATGTTAGAGTGTTGAGAAGTTGAAAGCACTTCCAGACCAACTTTGAGCTGCGTGGCTGTCTGGTACTTAATAGAAGATATTTTATGACTATGAATATGACTTTCTTGTTCATTTACTTGTAACTTGCTTTACAACAAGAGAATACATTTCAATTTATACGTTATCATCAGTGTCTCGGTTACAAGGTTTGTATAAGGGTGTATAATGAAACTCATCTCATCACCAATACCATTTGTTATGATGACACCAGACTATTTGACTTTTTAATATGGAACGATGAAAGTCATTGTATTTTCAAAGATATTGACGGTACTGTTAAGAAAAATTATTAATGTATAGCACATTTGTTTTTGTCTATCAGTGATGTAAAAAGTACTTTTGACGTACATTGTTCGATTAAAATATTAATTATTAAAATATTGAAACATAAAATAAAAAAAAACCAAATCTTGGGGTTTTGTAATGAAGACATTTTTAATGCCTGATTAACTTACTTCATTACAGCATTTTGCGGATTTTAGATTTTATTAAATAAAAGAGAAGATATATTAAGTTTCGTAGTTACATTTATTGATTTCATATTTTATAATTTTTTTTTTATTAAATTTTGTTTTTTTTTTCAAAATTATAATAGTGGAAGAAACTTGTATTAAATATAATTATTAAACTTAATAGCTGTTAAGAGTAAATCATAAACAAAAAATAAATAAATAACTCATTTATAAAAAATAACGATTTTCTGTGAATTATTTAACAAATATTTATAAACATTAATATACAAACAAAAACTACTAAAATATTCAATATTAATTTTTCTGTATAGAAACTTTATAAATTATTGTTCTGTGTTTTCTGATATTCATAACGTTTAAATTTTGCTTCTTTATAGTTTTTAACTCATGAGCATTTTAAATTCAGTTTTCAAAATTTCTTCGTAAATTGAGCAATCTCACTTACATTTTCGCGTATTTAATTTTTGTTAGTTTGACTAAGTTTTTCATACTTGAACAAATATAATTTTTTATTTGCAAGTATTTTTTTTTTGTGAATTTTTTATATTTTACTTATTTTTTTTTATTTTATCATTTTTTACAATTTTTTTTTGTTTTTTTTTTCTTATTTCCGTTTTAGCACATTTGGAATTCGTTTTACAAATATTTAATTTTTTTTTTTGTTTTGTTTTAATCAGTGCCCAAAATAATACAATATATTTTGATTTTAAATAAAATTTATATAATTAAAATCCTTAAAGGACATCAGGACAATTTCATAAAATTTTTAATTTAATTTACAACTTAATGATTGTTTCAATATGACAACCCCTTTTATAAAAACTTAGTTATAAAAAAAACTTATTTTTCGTATTTATTTTTCGTTATAAAATTTATCGAATATCACCAATAATTTTAACATTCAAAAAGGGAGATTTTTTTAAAAAAACCTTTAGCAAGTTTATTTTATTATTAAGATTTAGCTTAAAACATAATTTGATTAGTATATAATATACTACATATAAATAAAATTTAATATTTTAAGTTAGCTAAATCTTGCTTTACTTCTAGTTGTTCACATTTAAAGCAGTTCTTCTAGACGTTTGGACGGATTGTAGCGGTGTCTGCTACTTTTGGTCCAATATTTTCATTATTTCGTTCATTGTTGATAAGCTTCAACAACTCTGCAGCCAAAATTTTTTTTTGGAAGAACATCCGACATATATATGGATCTTCTGTTGTCTTCAGAAACTCCACTTGGAATGTTTGACTGAAGTTAGACGTAACAAAGTTTTGAAACTCTGTACTAACTTCATCCCTCGCAGTAAAATCTTCATCGAGACTGCAATGCTTACTATAGCGTTGTTCTTCAATTAAACTTTCAGGTAAAGCGTAGCATGTCTCGCATTCGGCATTATTTCCGAAATCTAAATAATGTACTTCACACTTGCCGTTCTCGAGCACTTTTACAATTTTGGCACGATAATAGGATAAATCACCAGGGAACAACGCCGCACAAATCATACCAACTTTCAATTCAGTTATTAGTTTGAATTCTTTTTCCGCAAAAGCCAACTTCTCAGTAATACGTTGTATTGCTGGTATATCTTTTTTAAGTTGTATGTAAAATGAATTTATGGAATTCACGAATATAACGATGCATTCGTGTAGTACAGGCATCGTAGATACTGCTTTCATATTTTCATCACTGTAGCTAACTAATTCTGCTAACTCATCTGCTAAATCCTTATAATTGGTTTGTAGCTTAACCACATGCTTGCCTGTCGTCTCATCCTTTTTATTTGCACCAATCTGAAAAAAATCGCCAAAATGTTGTTCGACAAGTGAATGGAAGCATTTGTCAATTTGTTTGGTTGGTGCTTCTGGTAATACATTTAATGTACAATGCAACGCTAATGGAGGGATTACAACTATTTCGCTAGGTAATTCGCGTAGTTGTGTTACAGTCATGTGGTAGCCATAATCAATTAGAAATATTCTGATATTTTCAGAAGAAATAGATGCAATTTTAACACGATAGTATAAATCGTCTTCTGCTATAAAAGCACAGCAAATTTTTCCATTCTCAAGCACAGTAACAAGGTCATATTTATCAGCAATAGATTTTTCAAGACGTGCCGTTATTAGTTCTAAATACGATGCGCTTGATGCCAGCTGAATATAAAAGCTTGTTGCCGATTCTACGTGTGTAATGTGGCATGTTGACTCAGCTTTGGTAATAGTGCGGACCACTTTTTGTTCTGCATCAATAGGTTTTGCTGTTTGTTCGATAAATTTTTGCGATTTATTTAATATTCCTTCCAATTGGCTATTTAAATTGTCATCAGTTTCGGCTGAGTAAATTTGGACTGCAATTGGCCTATCGTCTGCATTGGAAAATTCAATTTTGACATTCCTATTACACGCCTTAGTTAGGTTTTTAAACATTTTATCTGCCGAATTATTAACATTTTGCAACAAATCTGCATTATTCAATTTACAATGCATACATAATTCTTGAAATTGCTTAAATCGTTGTGGGAGATTTCGAATATCACTGCTCTCAGCGCAATTACCGTAATCAATAAACTGTACGCGTGCTCTGTATTCAGAATTGGGTAAGATTTCCAAAATACGCGCACGACGTAATGTGTTATTCTTATCGTAATAGGCTGCACACAGTTCGCCAATTTCTAGTACCTGCATTGAATCCCTTGCTAATAATTTAAGATTTTCTGACATTTCTTTAACCCGTAGAAAATTCTCATTGGTTTGTACATAAAAACTATAAATTGAATTTATATGTGATACGGTTCCAGCCATACTAATCGGATTTAAAAGACAGTTACTTGGCTCAAGATCATTGGAAATTTTAGGGGTGGCATATGGTTGTGGATAACATTCAGTGTTTTTATGTACATTAGTTTCACCGATATCGGAGTTAGTCGGATCTGCAAGTGTGACACACTCACGTGACACACGTCTTGTGCTTAATGCAGCGTTTGATTCTAATCCCGATAAATTATTCTGCTTGTCAAATATTTCGAGTTCCTCCTTTATATTCCGGTCGCCTGCAAACAAATTAACTTTAGCGTGATCAACTGCAGGCTCAATTAATTCGATTGTAAATTCATTCTGACCGATAGTAATTAAATCTGCAAACTTTTGTTCAGTGGCTTCAGAGCAAATAAAACTATTATCAGATAGCAAAGAACATTTTATTGATAACGATGGTACTTTCGAAACTGTATCTGATACAATACGACACTGTGGTGTAATGCACGTATTTCCATAATCAATAAACAACACCTTATAGCTTTTATCAGCAGTTTCTTCCAACAGTTTGGCTCTATACCACATTCCATCTTCTGGAAAGAGCGCAGCTACAATTTTATCCCTCTCAAATGTTTCTACTTCTAGCAAAGCTGTATAATCAGCCAAGAACATTTCAATCAGTTCCAAAGTTTTACGATCTTTTGCATATTGTATATAAAAATCTGATATATTATTTATATGCGATATATAGCATAACTCTTTTGATGTTACAACTACCAACGGAACAGCATAACCAACTTCTATAAGTTTTTCGGCGACGTTTACATCATCTATATATAGATCAATATATCGACTATTTTTTTCATGTCCGTGAGTTAAAAACTTATAATATATTAACTTATTATAGGAATCATTAAAAATAGAGTTAGCTGCGTCAACCCAATCTGTTGTTCCTTTTGGTTTTATTGGTAAAGCACATGGAATACAAAGTGGATCCATATCGGGAAATACACTCATTTCTTTAACATCAGTTGTGTCAGTAACACAATCAGAGTTACCATAGTCAATAAACTTAATTACCATTAGTTCAGAATCAATTATTTTTGCTCTATAATATTGTTTGTTCACTGAGTAAAATGAAATACAATTCGCGCCATCCATTATACGCATTAATGGTGGTAAAGATGCTGATATAATTTGTAAATTCTCCTGTAAGTTTCGCAGTGTTTCAAGATTGCATTTTGGATGTATATAAAATTGCGTAGGATTATCACAGTGAGCAAGTTGTCCCTGCTCCATATTTTCATAGGGATTATTTTTTGGTTTAATATTTATTTCTGGTTTCTTACTAATTGAATCTTGTTTTATGGTATACAAGACTTTATTTGGTATATATAATGGTTCATTCGGTACCACATCTTCAACTGGATTAAATAGAGTTCTTGTAATAGTATCACAACCTTTAGTTAAATTTATATTTTTAGTCATCTTAATTGCTTCTGGTTCTCGCACAGATTGTACAGTTTTCTTTTCTGAACTTGCTCCATCAGTATCTGATTCATCTTGTGTCAAATCAACTGTTTCTATATAAATAAATTTGTTTGATTTTTCCTTATTAATTAAATTCTGAACATATTCCAAACTTTCTGCTTCAATCAATTGGAGAGATTTCAAAATTTCTATTACTGACTTCTCTTCTAAAATTAATTGCGCAATTAGTCGATTTTTTCGGATCTCGATAGGTTCAAAACTTATTATTTTATTCAATAATATATCTTGCATTTTAATCAAGCACTCATTCTTTTTTGCATCACTTATCGTTTCTGATAATTTAACTGGTAGGTTTATTTCTATTCCATACGAGGATTTATTAACATAAAATTGTTTATCCAGCTTTTTAACAGAGTTTCTTTCACGTATTTCTGTGTAACCATAATCTATAAAAAACAGCTCCACTGTTTTTTTAAGTGTTGAAACTATACGTGCCCGGCACCAATTTCCATTTGAAGATTTTGCTGCACATATTTGATCAACACCAAAATTTGATAAAAGTTCGCCTATATGTTATATAAGAAAAATTAGTTTCAATTTAGTACACATAAATTAAATATAAAAATAGTATATAACATACATAACAAAAGGCAATATCTTAGAGACTGTAAAAAATTATTCAAAATAAAAACAGTATTTCAAATAGAAAATATTCAAATATTTATATCTATTCAACTAAAAGCACTAATTTTTTTGTTTCAGTTACGGGAGACACATTCATATATTTTCGTACATATATATTAGGGTGCCATTAAGGTATATGGGCAATTTTTTTTTCGTAAAATCGGTTGACGGCACCCCCCAGATCTGTTCATTTTACTAAAAAAATAATCTGTGTAAAATTTTAGTTCAATTGGATAAGTGGAAATGGTGCCCCAAGAGCCTCAAAGATTGAAAAATAACGATTTTTTCCATAATATTCATCTTTGATTGCTTATATCTCCGACATATTTAATTTTACATAAAAACTGTCTTCCTAAAAGTTATAGATCTATTAAAAATAAACAATTCACTCATACAAAGTTTTTCTGTATTTCTAATAGTTATTGAATAAAAGCAAATACAAGCTGAAATCCCCCTATTAAATTTAGGTAAGTTCAATGAATGAATTGTCTACTAAATTTGCTAGAAAATAAGTCCAATACTTGTATAGATATATACATAAGTGAGTTTCTGTATTATTCATTGGAATGCGAAGTGAATTTTAATTCAAAGTGATTACATTAAAAAGTGTACAAGTCTGAAAGCCCAAATGTTGAACTATTTCAACGATTTCAGAAGTTTTGGCCGAAAATAAACGTTGATAAGTTTACAGTCGGCTTAGAAAATGAAAAAGTAAGAAAATCGTTAAATATGGATGATGTGTTACGAATTACAAGTTTCCTTTATAAGATTCGTAAGGATAACCAACCAAGAGATGATTATAAGGAACTTCTGAACTTGCATTAATGTTTTTAGGAGAAAAGCCGAACTGTACCATAAAGTTTCGACCTCCTGGAGCTATACATCATGCAAGATGGATGGTGAAAGTCATGCATGTATTAAAAATATTTTTATTTAGGAAAGAG